TTCAATACATATTTCAATTTTTGGCGTTTCTAAACTTTGATTTTTCGATCAATGGATTTTCCAGCTTTTCGATTTTTCGGTTTTTCATTTCAATTTCTCGATTTTTTAATTTTTCGATATTTGGGTTTTTTAATTCTCCAATTTTTCGACTCAACTTCTCGATTTTTTAACTTTTTATTTTCTCAATTTTCCGAAACCTATTTTTAGTGCTACGATTTTTCAGTTTTTGCCGTTTATAAATTTTCGATTTCTCGATTTTTCAATTTTTCAATTCAATTTCTCGATTTTTCAAATTTTCGGTTTCTCAGTTTTCCTATATTTCAGTCTTCCAATTTTCTAATTATTTAGATTTTTAAATTTTTCGGTTTTCACAACATATTTCAATTTTTGGCGTTTCTAAACTTTGATTTTTCAATCAATCGATTTTCCGACTTTCGATTTTTCAGTTTTTCATTTCAGTTTCTCGATTTTTCAAAATTTCGATTTCTCGATTTTTTAATTTTTCGATATTTCGGTTTTTTAATTCTCCAATTTTCCGACTCAACTTCTCGATTTTTTAACTTTTTATTTTCTCAATTTTCCGAAACCTATTTTTAGTGTTACGATTTTTCAATTTTTGTCGTTTCTAAATTTTCGATTTCTCGATTCTTTGGCTTTTCGATTTTTCAGTTTTTCAATTCAATTTCTCGATTTTTCAAATTTTCGATTTCTCAATTTTCCTATATTTCAGTCTTCCGATTTTCTAATTATTTAGATTTTTAAATTTTTCGGTTTTCAATACATATTTCAATTTTTTGCGTTTCTAAACTTTGATTTTTCGATCAATGGATTTTCCGACTTTTCGATTTTTCATTTCAATTTCTCAATTTTCCCAAATTTTAGTTTTACGATATTCATTTTTTCAATTCATCAATTTTTCGAGTTTTTATGTTCTAAGCTTTCTGATTTTATTAATGCTAGATTTTTCAATTTTTCCACTTTTCGATTTTTCGATTTCTTGGTTTTTCAGTTTTGGAATTTTTCAATATTTTGATTCTTCAATTTTTCGATTTCTCGATTTTTCAAGTTTTTATCCTTTCCATTTTCAATTTCTCGATTTTCCGTTGTATTTGTTAAATTTATTTTGTGTCTGCTTTAGAATGAACGCCTCTGATTTTCGAGACGTCTTTTAACGTCAACGTGACAGAGAAATTGCACTTACAATAGAAAAATTAAATAAAAATGGATGATATGGGCAATTTAGGTATTTCCATTTTTTTGGCCGTGATAGTACATACAAAATTTGACAATAATCGGCCCAACAGTTTCGGTGATTACGTGTCTAATAAAAATGGATACAGACATCAGACAGACAGACAAACAGAAACGGGAGACTACATTTTTTGTACTCTAGGGTTCATCAAACGTCGAGAAAATATAAAAGTGGCCATTCGTCCGATGGACTCGCTTCCTTAAAATACGCTCGGGAAATAACAAAAGAGGATTCTTAAACCACGGGTACTATTTTATAAAATTTAAATAGTGTTTACTTTGCAAAATTTTAAAAATGGATACAGACACCAAACAGACAGACAGACAGAAACGGGAGACTACTTTTTTTGTACTCTAGGGTTCATCAAACGTCGAGAAAATATAAAAGTGGCCGTTCGTCCGATGGACTCGCTTCCTTAGATTACGCTCGAAAAATAATAAAAGTGGATTCTTAAACCACGGGTACTATTTTATAAAATTTAAATAGTGTTTACTTTGCAAAATTTTTTCGTCATCAAAGTGTTGGCGGGATGTACAGAAAAATTATGATTAGTGTTTTTCCACATACACAATTTCGCTAAAATACATCTACAATTTCACATAGAAACATATTATCAGTCCAGTAGTTTCGGAGAGTACAGTGAAACATATTCAACATTTTTGCAAGGACACGTATATCAACTTGGATTAGTGCACTGTAATAATAAAAATAACAATACTGTATTCCCAAAATTTTCTGGGAAAATTGAATAAGCTGTCCCTGATTTAATCAATAAAATAAACCGACATATTCATTAATTTTTTTGAGCCACCCTAAAAAATATGAACGCGATGATAAATCACAAATAAAAACTCATCACATTTTGCACATTTCGGGTAGATTTAGGAATTTAACTCGTTACTATGGAAATTTGCAATTTAACACCTTTAAATTTCACAAGATTAATAGGGACAAAATCAATTTTATCTTAACAAGTGCTAGGGGCGCCCACCCACCCCCTATTTTCTCAGAGGATATGTCATTTGCCAAAATAAGACTTATGTTAGCAAGTACGGATCCCGCCCACTCGCCCTTTATTTTCTCAGAGGGTCGTACTTGCTAGTAGTTGCTACGATAAGTCTTACTTTGGCAAATCACATATCCTCTGAGAAAATAAGGGTGGGTGGGCGGGGCTAGTACTTGCTTAGATAAGACTAATTTTGGCAAACGCCATACCTTCTGAGAAAATAGAGGGCGGGTGGGCGGAACTAGCACTTGCTAAGATAAGACTGCTGCTATTAAACTTGCAAAAACTCGTTGAAACCGCGTTAAATTGCAAACTTCCATTTCCATTTTACAAGTATAGACTCATCATTTTTTGCATATTTAAGATAGGATATATTCAGCAATATTTTGAGGTGACGTGATCAATTTTTTAAGGGGAATGAGCCAATACATTTTCATCAAAAATTTGCTATGCTTATGATAACTTTACAACATCTCCAACATTTCAGAGAATTCTGTTTTTCAGTTCTTCAATTCATTAATTTTTTTGAGTCACTCTGTTTAAGCAAATTTAAAAAATATGAATGCTGTCATAAATTAGAAGTGCAGACTGATCATATTTTGCACATTTAACATATTTATTTATAAATACAAAATTTGACAACAATCGGCCCAGTATTTTCAAAGATTATCTGTCTAATAAAAATGAGGATGTAGACAGACAGCCGGAAACGGAAGACATATTTCTTCGTACTCTAGGGGTCATGACAGTTCGAGAAAACGTAAAAGTACAGAGTTGGCCGACGGACTCGATTACAATACTTCCTTCGCTTACGCTCGGGAAGTAAAATCACAAACAAATGATGAGAAATTGATGAAGTTCGAAAGGTAAAAAATTTGATTGGAATACAAGGTAAATATATTTTTAAACTCTTGTAAATTTTACATGGAAATTTATTTATTCTTTTCCAACATCATTGCTTATATTCTATTATTTTATAAAAATAGCTTACACAGGACGTGTGGAAAAACTATAATGGTTTGATCAATTAGTACAGGAATACGTTCATTTGCATAAAAGTCTGACCAATGAATAACAATATAATAAGTGCTATGGTATGCATATTAATATAGTATTTATTCCCACTAAAATTTTTATATATACATCAAAACGAAGGAAGTTAAATGTCAAAGACATCACAATTTTTTTCTAATTAAAAACAACCATTTTTGAAAATAAATACATAATGAAATCACGTAATCAATGTGGTATGAGAAATAATATATAAACAATGGAGGATATTTTTCACTAAAAAAATTACGAAAAAATTAAATAGGTAATCTCAAAAGTATTGTGTCCAAATTTTTTTTGTGTCAATTAAAAATATGTTGTTAAAGCGCTCAGAATAAAACTTTTCAGTGCGTAATACTTTAAATAAATATTTAATAATTTCCTTGACATCATTAACATCCTGGAGGAAATGAATAATTAAATTTTACTGAACTTTCCATATTTGCAATACGAAATTCGTTATGAACTTTCTTAGGCAAATTATCGAGGGAATTATAAAACATCTTTGTAAAAATTTTATTCTCTTAGGAAACATAAATACGCAACGTTAAAATACAAGTTTAAAGTGTACGTAAACACACAAATAAAAATCGGAAATCTGTATTTTCGCATTCTACGAAAAAAAATGTTGACAGCTCAGACATGGTATATTCAAAGAAAAACCTAAATATATATTCATTAAAACCGAAACTGTTTAAAATTGTCTTTAATGCTAAATATTTTAATTATTTCAACTGCTTCATACATGTAACATTTCTGACATTGTTTTTACCCACAACCTTCGTTGTTTATCTTCAAATATGCAAACTACCTGAAGGTAAAGTTATCTCATACCTAAAAAAATTTTGAGAAAAACCGTGACAAATGTGTAAAATAATGACAAGTATTTATTTATTTAAATTTAACATTTTTTTTGTCTTTAGTTCAAGTTGGCATATTTCACAACTTAGAAACCGCCTTATCGTGAAAAATATAGCACGATTAATACGTATATTTAAGTTTGGTGTTGATAAAATTATCTCTCTGTAATTTGTAAAAGTCCGTCACTGACGTAGTAGAATTTAATAAACACAATTAATTAAAAGTTGTATAAATCATCGTACGTCAAAATAACCCGACACTCTTCCTTCCCTCAAAAAATTACCACAACATTAAACCACCTGCCTCAAATTACAACAGCAGCCGTAGTAAACATTGCACCCAGCAAAAACTCCTCATCCAAGAATACCAAGCCATAAATAACAATAATGTACATTTTTTCGGTCGACTGCTTCATTTGTCTCAAGTACTAAATTAGCCTCATATCTTAACCACATGGACCCAATTATTAACACATTTATTAATTTTACAACATTTTAGCCGGCTAATGAGCCTGCCATAAAATCCAGCAAAAAATTACCCCTAAATCGAACGCATCGTGTTTACGGCAGGTAATTATAGGATCATTCGTAATTGTCCTGAAGCATTAAACTTTACTCAACTCTAATTAAATTGCACTTCATCAAGAACATCCAGGCGTGAAATTGCCTCCAAGTTTACATTGCTTGCCTTGGGGGAAATTAGGCGAGATGGAGGCAGATAGGACCGGAAAGGGAAAACTTACACACAAAACAAAACCAACCATAACGCAAAAACATTAAAAAAAATTACACACAATTTTATTCACGTACTTAAAAAATCAAAAATACTCACCTAGTTTCGATAGATTTTTCTCGGTGGTTTCTGCACTTAAGCCATCCTCCCACCCTCACACTTTGTTAAGATTAACATAAACAAACACACTTTGAAGTCAGCGTGTTTCGACGTTGTAAGCTAATGCAATACTGAATTTAAAGCTTGGCGCTAGATTGCGCATGGCTTCCCTAAACAATTTCAATACAGTTTATACAAGGAGCAACGTGACAGAACTAATTCATACAAGGGGATGGGGAGAAGTCTATTGTGTTGATGCGCCCTTTTATTGCCTAGACCAACTAGATGTAAAGAGATTTTAACCGTCTAGTCTACTTTTACGATCTTAATCGAATGAAGCAAATTAATAAAAGCGGCCGCAATTAACGCCGTCAACAACGTTTTAATAATTAACATAATAATTGTAATAATAACTTCGCCGGTTTCAGATATTCTTGAGCAAACCGTACAGAACTTCAATTATTACATAGAATCGACAAAATATTTAAATCTCGTTCGTACATGCGAAAACAGCGTTCATGTTTCCGTCTGTATGTCCATATATCGGTAATAACAGATTTACATTCCCCTTCGTACACAGGTTTTTAAGAACTATGTATTTTCAAAGCTATTTTATTGATTATCTTAGAAACAGCTCATATGATTTCCCTGAAGTTTGGAAAACACAATGACCTTATAATTAATGTTAAACTCTACCCACACTAACAATTCATTAATACCGGAGCTTCTAAAGCAGACAGAACAACCTTCAATTTAAATTAATTTGTTGTCAAATTCCTAGCAAAACTAAAAAGTGTAAGCAAAGATATAACTTGAGATTCCTTAATAACGTTACTATGAAATTTAGACTTATTGTTGTCTCTGAGTACCCTCTGATAAAGAATACAGTCGCTAAAAATGCATGTCATTAATATTAAAGATGTCATTTCTCGATATTCTCTAGTTACAATGCAATATCTCATGCTCTAGTACACAGACTCGTCATTCTTTTATAAATGAGAAAAGAAATTTCTTGGGATTTCAATGCAGGATTAAATATGATTCGGTGCATTTCCATCATTACGAGAACTGAACTGTCAGTCATTAGGGATATTTATTACCGCACAAAAATTTTTTTTCTGTTGGCGGTAACTACGTTCCCCTAAATGCTAATGTCAAACTCGCACCACTTAAGTGCGTGAGGTTATGAAAACGTCGCACGTTTATCAGTAACAATCAAGGTTGATTGACATTGACAATATAAAACGCAAGCATCGCATCAGCCACAAGTGTGTGACATTTTTAAAACTTCACTGCTTTCTCTGACGTAAGCCATTTTCACCCGGAAAAACTAGTTACGCCAATAGAAGAAATTTGAGCACACCAGATGTCACGGTTACCAAATGTGAAAATTGGTCAAAAATCACCAATAAAAATAGTCTTCGGCTTGTCGTTACTTATAAAAGATCTTAAAATAACTTTTTTAAAGTGAACTCCTGACAGGGCAAGATCTTAACGAACGTCCTACTTCGTGCCCACAAAGCAGCGGCTATTGTTGAATTTTGTAACTAGAACAAAATCTTCATAATTCAACATTTCAGCGCTTGTCAGACGCCTTTAAGACGCACACACGACACTTGATAAATCATGTGCCAAGTTCCATACATATGATTTCCGTTCGTTGTGTGCACTAACAGGTCAAGGTTACAAGAACATCCAAAACAAATTGTTACATTATTCTATTATGTCAGTTAATTGTCTCCCTAATTTTTAGTTGGTACGCTTTGTTCGTGAGAGAGTATTGATTTTTATTAAGCTTTTAGATAAAATTGCGTCCGAAGTACAGTAAATTTGCTAAATCAAGGTTAAGATTGGGAAAATTGCTAACAATGGCTTTTACGAGTTTCCGGGACTTGAAGACCTCTATTTCGGATATTACTTATCTATTCAGCGACCTGGAACCCGTTAATTGTTTTATTAACGTTCACACGCTTAATATTATTATCTTTAGTGTATTAATGTTTCATCTGAAAAGTGTCATTATTATATTATTTAACTCACCTAATACACAAAATGAAGATCACAAATTTAAAACAATGTTTTTTTTGTCAAAAATGAACAGAAAAAAGATATTAATAATACTTGGCACCCAATTCACACAATTAACACAGTCGTGATAAACAAACGACAACTTTATCTAATTAGATCTGGCAGCAAACAAAATGTCACATCTTAAATACAGTGGTAGCTAAATATAAAAAAGTTTCCATTTTTACTATTCAAATAATTTGACGTCGTTTTCGTCACATTCTTCCAAGTCTTCTTCACTTTCCGTTCTTTCGGGATGTTCCAAAATCTCTTTAAAACTGAAAGGTTCAAATGGGTACCCCTTCCCTTCATAAAACTTGCTCATAAACTCCACCCTAGAAAAAAGTTTACCAAAATCGAATTCCCCCAAACCCTAAAAAATTACCAGTGCAGCCTCAAAGTGTGCAAAAATGCCGACAACCCTTCCATAATCACAAGAATCATCAACGTGAAGAACGCCCACAGGAAAAACGAAGCAAAAACGGCGATTCCTCCATAATAACCTCCAAATTTCATTCCCAGACAGAGAACTCGCTTCCACAGGACATCAGACAGTTCTAAAAAATAATCTCCGTTTTTAGAACAATCATTTATTATTATTACCACTGTGTGCCAAAGATAACGCCCACAGTCGCAAATACGACGCCGTGTGCGAAATCGTGCTAAGAACATATTCTATAGTGTAGATAACTTGAAGAACGAACAAATCGAAGACTGTTTCAGCTTCTTCGTTCACATTTAACTCTTGTTCGACGCTTTTATAAAACTTCAGACTTAACTCGTCACGGAATCTCTTGTTGTCTAGTTTGTCCTGAGTAACCTTAGATTTTGGGTTTGTCTTTTCGCCCTACTGTACCTTATATCATTTACTTACGTGAAAGTGTTGTTTTCGGGAGTACAGTACATATAGAGGTTTACCAAATATCATCAGTGGAATGGTGATAATAGACACAATCAGAAGCATTTTGTGTAATTTAGGCTGAAATTGGAAAAAGTAGGGGTCACAACCTGGACGGGGCACAGTTTCCTTTATTAGAAGCATGTTTATGAAAGATATAAGAATTGAAGGTGCACACGATGTTCCATATTTGACATCTTTTTTGAACAAAAATCAAAAGAAATTAGTAAAGTAGGCAACCAGTAAATCATCGCTTACCTGTACTAACCGGTGAGTACATTATCCATTTAATAAACATCATAGCAACTAACCATAGGAAAAGGCAACTCAGTAGAGTTAACTGAGGCACAAACACCAGAAGAATATTTGCATACTTCCGAAAATATCTGTAATTTTTTTTTAAACACTAAATACGTTTGCAATACTGTGTTAACTTACACAAAATTGACCACATTGCTGCAAAGTCCCAAAATCATGTGCAAAACCCCAAAAATAATCGACATTTTCATTTTATACGAATTCAAAAACGCAATCCGGTTGTTGGCGAGGCTCCAAATGGGGTCCACCCCGAAAAAGTACGGGCTGCCAACATAACTGTGCCCTGGATCCAAACCAGAGACGTCGCCAGCCACCACTACCGAGTAATTAAAAACCGGGTCCCAACTCGACCCGAAAATATTCATGGACTTGGAGAACACCTCGTTGTAGACGAAACCGGTGTAAAGCGAAAAAATCCCCATCAGAAGTATGAGGTAGCGTCCCTCGTAGAAGATCGTCGTGACTTCACTAGCGACTTTTTTGGCCGCGAAGTTTTTTTCGTTGATTATCAAAAAAGTTGCGAAAAGTACCAAAATGAAAGCGTGCCCGATGTCGCCGAACATCACGGCGAACAAAAGCGGGAACGTGACCATTGAGTACAAAGCTGGAAACAAGGATTGGTGTTGGGACTTGGGAATGGTGGTAGTACCTGGGTTCACTTCTTGGTACGACGCGACTCCGTAAACGTCAACCAGCTTTTGGAAGCATTGGGTGAATTTGTTGGTTCGGTTGAAAGTGGGGGGGTCTTCGTCAGTTTTGACGACGTACAAAAACGAGAACACTGGACATCCAGACGCCCTCTGGGTACTTAAGTTAAGTAAAAAGAGATAAAAGTGAGATAGACGTACTGAGCCATCACCAAGCGCTTTCTTGACTACTGGAATATAAACAAACGGGACCCAACACTGGCCAATGAAGCATTTTCCAGTAACGTCCATGTTTAATAGGTTCAAACCATGATAAATCGCTTTAATTTTACTAACCATGGTGCTCCAGTAACGTAGGTCTTTGGCAATTCTGCTTAAAAAATTTTCCCGGTAGGCGTACGTTTGATTTATAACCAACTTAATATCAGCTAGACGTCTGCAAATACTTTCTAGTAGTTTTCTTCGTTCGCTTGGCACACTGGGACACGAATAAATACGAGCGCGGAAGCCTTCACAGATTTTGTTTATTCTTGGTGTCAGAAGATTACCGTGAAAGCACACAATAAAAACACTCTTGTAGTGTCTACAGTCCTAAAACGTCATTCTAAATTTTGATACTAATAAAATAAAATCTCACTGAAGCTAAATCTTCTAGAGGATTCTCAATTTCGACTTTTTCAAAAAACACGTTTCCTTTGCAAACTCTCCATAGCATGGTTTCAAACGATTTCATTTTCTCTCTATTGATGATCCCAGTGACGAAATTGAACTGGTTTATGATCGTAGAACTCTGATCTTCTCCTACATTCCTAGACAGGTCATACCCAAAAATTTCGTCGCGTTTTCGAAGAAACGCCTCCGCTTTTTCTAGAACTTGCTTCAATTCTAGCAACTCCAAAGAACACTGCTTTAAACTATAAGCATTCAGTGTCAGTTTCTTCAGTTCTTCTTCACTCCTGGAGATGTTTCGCTAGAGAAGAGTTGTCAGTGGAGAAAATCAGAAAGTGGGTTTGTACTTCTAAGTCTGCGATTTCGTTCGGTGGAAGAGCTTTAACATTTTCTGAGCAAGGGGAAATCGTGACGCCGTGATTTTCCAGTTCTGATTCTATGTACCTCAGCTTTCGCTCCATTTCGTGGCATCGTCTGACGTCATCGACGAAGTTTCGCTGGAAGGAGGTGACGTCTTTGTTTAACTGGAAAAGAGTTTGAGAATAAAGATGGCACTCTTTGTTTACCAACATCTAGGAACTGGACGGCTCCGATTTCCCCGAGTTCAGAAATCACATAATATGCAGCTTCCGATGGAATGAAGATTTGGCAAAGACTCATGCGTTCACTGCGCAACATATTTCCCATTTTTACCTGTCAAACTAAGAAATGTCAATTCTGGGAGACTTTATTTCCGGTTTTTTGACATTTTCCTACTTGATTAATGCATCAAAAACTGTTTAAATTTCGGTTAATTAAACAACACGAATATGTATATTTGTTGATAAATCCAATTAATACATAAAAATTGTAGAATAGAACAAATAGGTTAATCTTCAACACCAGCCTCCTGCTCCAAAATCGCCTTAAAACTAAACGGTTCAAACGGATATCCCTCACCCTGGTAGAACTTGCTCAGAAATTCGACCCTGAAACAACAAATGCATCGTTTTTTCCCTACCTGATAAAAATGACTCACCAATGCAATCTCAGCGTGTGCAAAAACGCCGACAACCCCTCCATTAGAACCAAAATGGCGACAGTAAAAAAGGCCCAAACAGAAAACAGTATCACTGTCATTGGAGCCCCCACGTACGAGGAGCTCTTTAACCCTATTTGGAACAACCTATTCCACAACACCTCGGAAAGTTCTAAAACGTGTCTTTAATTTAAGCACTTAAACAAAGTCATCTGACTTACGCGCATGCGCTAACGACAAAGCCCACAACCGCAAGTACGAAGCAGTATGAGAAATGGTACTTAAGACGTACTCGATGGTGTGTATAACTTGATGGATGAAGATTTCGCTGATGGGTTCTTCTTCTTCATCTTCGTTTTGTGCGGCGGTCTGGTCCCCAGAATCTTTCTTTGGTTTAGCTTTTCGGGTGAATTTGACATAGAGAGGTTTACCTAGGAGGAGTACTGGGATGCAGAGCAAGGAAAGGTAAACTAGGATTTGTTGGAGCAATTGTTGACCCTCGAACATGTACACTTCGCAACCGGGTTTCTGCTCTTCTTCTTTAAACAGCATCATGTTGATGAAGAAGACGAGGATGGAAGGGGCACACGAAGATCCGTACTCGATTTCTGGAACCAATGGTTACTTTTTTGAGACGCGTTTTGGGGTTTAAATTACCGTTAGCTTTGTCGCAAGAATACCAAATCCATTTCATAAACATCATCACGACCATCCACAAGAAGAGGAAACATAGTAGGAGAATCTGGGGGAGGAATTCCAAAAAGATAGACGAATATTTCCGGAAATATCTACAACGATTATTGACATAATTGAACTTAGAAATTTTCATCTATGTAGCTAGGTACTCACACGAAGTTAATAACGCTGACACAAACTCCAAACATCATGTGCAAGACCCCAATAACAATAGACAGTTTCATTTTAAACGTGTTAAAGAAAATGATTTTGTTGGTGGCAAATTGCCACGCTGGATCCAACCCCATAAAATACGAAGACCCAGTGTAATCAAACCTGGGATCTAACGTAGTTGACTCCTGCTCCATAGCTGCCTCCCGATTCAAATTCACAAACCAAGTACTCCCAAAAATGTTCATCGCTTTTGAGAAAAAGTCGTTGTAGAGAACTCCAGTGTAAATTGAGAAGATCCCCATCAGAAGAATAATGTATCTCCCGGAAAAGAAAATATTGAAGATCTCGCTGGTGATTTTCTTCTTTAGGATACTCTTCTCAGCATAAACCAAATAACCTCCAAAACATGCCATGATAATCGCGTGTCCGACATCTCCGAACATCACCGCAAAGAGAAACGGGAACGTGATGATGGTGTACAAAGCTGGATTGACTTCGCGGTAGGAGGCCATACCATAGGAGTCTATCAAGTTTTGGAAGCCTTGTGTGAACCTGTTCGTTCTGTTGAAAGTCGGCGGTGTTTCTTTAGTGTCAATGGTGTTCAAAAACGACGAGATCGAACTACCGGAAGTTGCCTAGAAGCGACAAAGTTATGACAATTAGGCAGCAAAAGTCTACTTACTGAGAGATCCGAGAGGGTTTTCTGTACAATAGGAAGGTCTTTAGTGGGAACCCAGCACTCCCCAATTAGACACTTATTGGTCACGTCCATATTAAAAAAGTTCAAAGTGTGATAAATCGCCTTCATTTTGCTAACCATGATGCTCCAATTTTGCAGTTCTTTGGCAACGTTGACCAACACTCTTTCCCGGTGATCCCGCGTCTGGTTCAACACCATATTCAAGTCTTCCAAACGCGTGGACACCCCAGTCAACATCTCGCTTCTTTTTTGGAAATCACTAGGACATGCATACACCGACGCGCGGAAACCAGCGCACACCTTATTGATCCTCGTGTGTAGCTGCTCACCTTGGAAAAAAATCACGAAGACGGTTTTATAATTTTCGTGACCCTGAAACCAGTCCCTTAACCACTTTCAAGCACTCAAATCCAGGTAATTACCGTGACTGGGTCCTCCAAAGCTTCATCGATCTCGACCTGCTTCACAAACACATTCCCTCTAGAAATTCTCCACAGCATCCTCTCAAAACCTGGGACTCTCTCCCTACCGATAACCCCAGCCACGAAACTCAGCCTCCCATTCTGCGCATCTTCAGTAATCAGCGCCTTGTGTACCGAATCCAACGCACTCCCGTCGTCGCTTTCGTTAAAGTAAGGTTGAGTTTTCTCCAAGACGTGCTTCAGCTCGATCAAGTCCAAATAGTCGGACTTCAAGTTGACAGCGCTCTGAGTGAGTTGTTTGATATCGCTTTCGGTCTTCTCGAGATGCGCTTCTAGATCTATGATTTGACGAGGATTAGGAGGACGGGGTAGATCTTCCGGTTCCGTAATAGGGATATCGTGTTTCTTCACTTCTGCTTCTATGTAGCGCAGCTGGCGTTCCATTTCGTCGCATCTTCGGACTTCGTTTACGAATTTTCGTTGGAAGGCGTGAACGTCTTCGTTCAACTAGAAGACGCTACTTCGTTATAGATCTAGCTGAGTTTTTACTTACGTCTCGGAACTGGACGATTCCGGATTCGCCAAGCTCGGAGATGGCGAAGTACGCCGTTTCTGGTTGGATGAAGAGTTGGGCAAGAGCCATTTCCTCGCTGCGGAAGAAGTCCCCCATCTTGTGGAGACTTTGAACGTCTGTGAGTTTGCAAAAATGTCTGAGTATGTATAGGTTGCACTGAGCGGATTTAATCCGGGTAGGTACTTACATTATCTGTGCTTAAATGAAACCACTGGTAATCTTATAATGCTCACTTGACAAAAGATATCTAAAGATTGAGATTGTTTTATCGTCTAATAAAAAATGTTTAGTATTTGCGACAATTAAATTTCGGTACTTGATAGATAGTATAGTATGCAATTAATTTTAAATGGGACACATTGTTGCTACCGCTGCTATTGTTGTAATGATTTCTGGTTTAATTGCTTTTAGTTTTTCGATAATAAAAATTTAAATACAAAAAAAAAAAACGAAATAAGGAACTTGCAATTTAAAAACTACACAGTTGTAAAATATTTCGCTTTCGCTCAAGCAGCAAGAAGTGAATCTATGAATTAATAAAAAAAAAACGTACTGACCTTAAAGTAAATCGAAATTGTCGTCTACGGGCTGTTTTCGTGCAAAAATGGTCGTACTGGAATGAACATAGCAATGATTTTAAAAGTATTACTCACTCGCGTTACAAAAAAACAAAAACAGAGATAAAATGATTACAAAGAGACTACTTAAGAAGAGCAAATCACATCATATTGAACTATTAGCGATTGATTAGAGATTACATGTATTGTATTGATGTCGCAGTTAATTTACAACAGATGGAAAATATGATCCAACATTCATAATCACGTGTTTCCATTTCCGTTTAATTAATCTCTAAGTACCCACAAAAAACGGCTATAGGTGGCAATAATACAATGGATATTAATCAGTGTGGAAAGCATTATGCAAAAACCGTTTCAACCTTTTCTAAATTCACGTCATAAGTTAAAACTATACGTTAGAACGAAGACATTGAGTTCAAACAAAAACAAAAAGGTAGTTGGCAGTACTGCTTTATTTTTAATAAGTATACTTGGTACTATTAAAAAACAAAAAACACACTTGAACGAAAACTATTTACTTTATTTCATATAAAAGTACAAAAAATTTAGAACAATTAGGATTACTTTTCTTCTCTTTCCTTTTCGAAGATGTCCCTCAAACTAAACGGTTCAAACGGATACCCCAATCCGGTATAAAACTTGCTCATAAACTCAACCCTGAAACAAACAAAAACACTCTTTCCCCCGACAAGCAACTCCTCACCAATGCAAGCGCAGAGTATGTAAAAACGCAGACAACCCCTCCATCAGAATCAAAATAGCGACTGTGCCCCCTGCCCAAGCTGCAAAAAATGCGAACATCTTCAAAGCACCCACAAACGAGTTGCTCTTCAAACCCAATTGGAACACCATCTGCCACAATACTTCCGAAAGTTCTGAAAAACTCCCTCACTACTGGTTTTCCTACAATTTCGCTAACTCACGCGCATGCGCCAGCGACAAAGCCCACAACCTTAAGTAGGAAGCCGTGTGTGAAATCGTGCTTAAAACATACTCGATGGTGTGGATAGCTTGATGGATGAAAACTTCGCTAATGGGCTCTTCCTGCTCTTCGGTTTTTTGTTCGTGTAACTCTCGCAGGTACTTTTGTAAAGGGTCCTCTTCGTCCTCAAAAGCGATTGATGCGTCGTCTTCGGTTAAAGTGTCAGCGGGTGAGTCTTCGTCGTGCAAACGGAATGATACTTGTTTTCTTACGGACGAATGATTCTCGGTTTTTCGCTGTTGTGTAGGTTTTGTCTTTTGGTTTCGTTTCCGAGTTAGTGTGACGTACAGTGGTTTTCCTAGAAGGAGGACTGGAATGCATGCCAGGGAGACAAAAACTAGAATTTTTTGGATGAAGGGCTGGGTTTTGAACATGTAGAGGTTGCAGCCGGTTTGAACAGGGTTTTCTTTGAATAGCATCATGTTGATGAAGTAGATGAGGACTGAGGGGGCGCAGGAGGATCCATATTCGGTTGCTGGAAAAAGTGAAAATGAGAGCTCTTTTGTGATTTGAGTTAGTACTCACGAGAAGTTTGTTCGCACGAATACCAGAACCATTTCATGAACATCATTATAATCATCCACAGGAAGAGGAGAAGCAGCAAAGTGATCTGTGGTAGGAACTCTAGGAAGATGCTTGAGTACGCGCCGAATTGTCTGCAATACTTTCGTTGTAAGTTGGCGAATTTATATGGAATCAATTATATACACATCATAAAGTTATAGAAACTGGCAGATTTGTTTAATTGGTAATTAAGGCAAAATATTTTTGTTCGAGTGGAATGCGAGCCAAATTTTTATAACCAAACATAGAATGACAAATTGTTGCTTCTCCGGTGGGAATCGAACCACACTGTTAGCGCTTGCCGGGCGGGTGCCCTTACCACTAGACTACGGAGGAGCTTATCTTTCCGCGCTTACCAACGTGTTATTGTGCCGGCACACAAATTGATTTGAAATATGACCAATCGTTTGTAATAATTAAGTATTACATCAATTTTACAATCTTGGCACAAAAAACGTACTTAAGTAACACGTTTAAAGGTGTTTTGCTTCTGGCTGTTGATCTCAGTAGCCAATTTTTGAGACTCAGCCAAAGTGACTCAGTTTTTACACTTCTTACTCACATATTAAACACTAGAAACGTCTCAGTAATTTCTTCCGTCCTATAGACGAGTTAGTACGTTTATCAAGTTTTGTTTTGGAGTTAAAATTAAATGAATTAAAATGATGCCATTTTTCGAAATTTTTTAATAAACATCTCAAAGTAATACATCTCAATTTTTAGATCATTAAAAAGAGCCGGTTTCTAGTACGTGAATTAAATAAGTATTTAATTCGAATTAGAATTTAATGTGTGATTAACACATGCATCTGAGTGACTTTTAATCTGATCACGTGATCGATTAAATACGTAAATAAATTAATAACGTGATTAAATGCCTCTATAAATTACCGGTTCTAAGATCCTATAATCAATCAAATGCAGAAGAAAATTGCGATCTTATTGTGGCGTTTTTAATTTAGGTAAAACATGAATGTGTAAATACTGACGAACTTTTCGACTCCAGAGCAATTTTAAAGATTTAAATTTTAAAATTCATTACAATTTTTTTTAATTTGTGTCCAAGAAGAAATAGCAACCAATGAAATTGAACATCACTCTTAATTTTTCAGTCGGGATTGTCGTCATTTTTTTCAAAATATTTCTGAAAGTAGGACAATTTCAAAATTTATTTTCAGTTAAAAAAAAATACAATTTTAAAATCACCATAAAGAATTTTAAAATAAATTCACAGAATAATTTTTGACTTTGTTTTAATTCTTAGATTCTACCGCTTGTCAAAATACAATTCAAATGCCATTTTACCATAAATAAAATAAGTTAGAAGAATGGCACAGAGGTGAGTTTAGTTTTTTATTCTTATAAGTCTTATAAGCAAGCCCCGCCCACCCACCCTCCTTCATTTCACTGACACTCTAAATATTGTTCAGTCTTACATTGGTAAGTGATAGCCCCGCCCACCCGAGTACGAAAAAAGTGTTACATACATATCTTTATTTTAACTTATAAGGCTTTTCATAAATAATTCGCATAAGCAAATTTAGAATTATACAATATTTTAGAAGGTGTTATTTGCCAAAATCCGTCTTATCTTAGCAGGTATTACCCCGCCCACCCGCCCTATTCTCATTTTAACGATTTTATTTCTATTCATCAGTATAAAATCCACCTTTCATTCAAATACAATGAATCATTAAAACGAAGGCGGAGTTAATTATATGTCCTTCTGTAAAGTGACAAGAAACGAATAGAACCTGAGCTGTTGAAAAGAGAAAAATTGGTCGAAAATTAAGTTTTTATTTCAGAGAATTTTGTGATGACGTCATCAACATTTTTCCAAGGACACGTAGATCAACTTGGATTGGTGCACTGTAATAATAAAAATAACAATATTGTATTCCCAAAATTTTCTGGGAAAATTGAATGAGCCGTTCCTGATTTACTCAATAAAATAAACTGACACATTCATTAATTTTTTTGAGCCACCTGTATACGCAAATCTAAAAAATATGAATGCGATGATAAATCACAAGTAAAAACTCATCACATTTTGCACATTTCGGGTAGATTTAGGAATTTTTCGTTATTATTGAAGTTTGCAATTTAACACCTTTAAACTTCACAAGTTTTTACAACATTAATAGGGACAAAATGAGTTTTATCTTAACAAATACTAGGCCCGCCCACCCGCCCCCTATTTTTTCAGAGGATGTCATTTGCCGAAATCAGTCTTATATCAGAAAATGCTAACCCCGCCCATCCACCCGTATTTTTGTATCTAATTTGCCAAAATAAGACTTACTCGTATGTTAGCAAGTACGGACCCCGTCCACTCGACCTTTATTTTCTCAGAGGGTAGTACTTGCTACGATAAGTCTTACTTTGGCAAATGACATATCCTCTGAAAAAATACAGGTGGGTGGGCGAGGCTAGCATTTGCTGAGATAAGACTGATTTTGGCATAGTCCATGCGCTCGGAGAAAATAGAGGGCGAGTGGGCGGGGCTAGTATTTGCTAAGATAAACTGATTTTAGCAAATATATTTTGATTACAAATTTATTATGCTTACCATAAAATTAAAACATCTGCAAGATTTCAAAGCATTCAGTTTGGCAGATTCAAAATTAGATTGCAAAATGTTGTATAATTTTGATTTATTTTCAAAAATCTGGATGTTTTGGGTAAAAACTGAACACGGAGTCATAAACCACATTGTAGGACTATGTTATTTTATACAATTGAAAACCCATTCACTATGTACAATTATTGGTGACGATGATTATACAAATTTTGGTTAGCGTTTTACCTTCTACATGATATTCCTAATAGAAGTACAAAATTTGACAACAATCGACCCAGTATTTTCAAAGATTATCTGTCTAATAAAAACGGGAACGCAGACGGACAGACAGACAGGCAGAAACGGAAGACCTATTTCTTCGTACTCTAGGGGTCATGAAAGATCGAGAAAACGTCAAAATCGGCCGACAAACTCGGGAAGTAAAAAACAACGCTGTGGGCGGGGTCTTACAGAGGTTTTTATAAGCAAGAAGTAGCCCCGCCCACCCGCCCTCTATTGTTTTAGAAGGTATTATTTGCCAAAATCAGTCTTATTTTAGCAGGTATATTATTGATCAAATTTGGCCAATCCATAAAGGTAGAATGATAAAATTTGATCGTTTCCAGTGTTTTCGGACCCGAAACACTAGAAAACACAAGAAAAAGCTTGAAAAGTAACATTTCTAATGTTTTTTAGCGAATTTCTTGAAAGTACAAACGCCGTAATATGAAAAATGAACCCAATCGTCTCCTTTTCGCAAAATAATTTGATTCTATATAATGCAAGTATGTCATATCGATAAGATTGTCTAAAAAAGTCGAAATATACTTCAGAATTCATAAAGTGCATCCAAAATACGATTTCTAGCTAAAATTTGTTAGTTTCCTTGGTATTTTTGGGCTCATTGGGTACCCGAAACGCTAGAAAACACCAGAAAAAAATCATCCTTCTTTCATGAGCCAATCATATTCACGCATTAATCTTTGACTTAATTTAAATCCAAAAATAAAAAAGAAATAATTTGTTGTCAAGATATTCCATTTTAAAAAATCAAAAAATAGTAAATAATTAACGAACTATTATAACAAAAAAGATCAAATTCCAGTTGTCAGATAAATCATTCTACATTAAACACAGGACATGATCCGTGATTTGCGCAAGCGCAGTTTGAATTTTTGCTTTTAATTCCTGCTTCTACCTAGTACCCTGTAAAAATTACTGTTTAAATTAACGTTAGTGTCTTTACTGTGGCGCCCTCTGACTCAAAATTGAGGAAGTACACCGCGAAACGTCATTCTGTTTAAAATCATTATTTCTAACGGGTCATCAAAAAGTTTTCAGATTAGAGTTGGCTGTGGAAATACTTGTCATGTCTTTGATTAAACTGTAAAAGTCATGCATAACCTTTAATATACTCTAATTAATAAAAAAAATAAAACACAGTGCGTCGAGTATTGTATATTTGCTGCTACATCTAGTATAATTAAAACTGTATAAGATATAAAGCACTTGTAAAGGAGTTCACGTTATTCCTCTCCGCCGCCCTCCTCCTCCAAAATAGCCTTGAAGCTAAACGGCTGGAACGGATACCCCAACCCCGCATAAAACTTACTCATGAATTCGACCCTGTAACAAAAAAAATGTACCCTCTTTCCCCCAAACCAAACAAAAAACCAATACCAATGCAAACGTAACGTATGCAAGAACGCCGACAACCCCTCCATGAGCACCAAAATGGCGATAGTAAACGCCGCCCAGACAGCGAAAAACACGAACGCCAACACAGCGCCCACATACGACGAGTTCTTCAGCCCCATCTGGAATATCATATTCCACAACACCTCCGAAAGTTCTAAAACATCAAATTAACACCAGTCGCACTTAACCCGACTTAAACTTACGCGCATGCGCCAACGACAAAGCCCACAACCGCAGGTACGAAGCCGTGTGCGAAATCGTGCTCAACACGTACTCGATGGTGTGGATGGCTTGATGAATGAAGATCTCGCTCATGGGTTCTTCCTCCTCCTCGTCTTCGTCGTGGTGCGCGGCACCCGACGTGTTCTGTTGGGCTTCGGGGTACTCCCCGAGCTCCATTCCTTGATTGACATCGCCGTTGCTTCGCACGTGCGGTTTACTCTTTCGGGTGAACTTGATGTAGAAGGGTTTACCCAAAAGGAGGACTGGAATGCATATGAGGGAAAGGTAGACGAGGATTTGCTGGAGTTGGGCTTGGCCGTCGAACATGTACATGTTGCATCCAGGGGTGGGTTCCTGCTCTTTGAAGAGCATCATGTTGATGAAGTAGATGAGGACGGAGGGGGCGCACGAAGATCCGTATTCGATGGCTGGAAGAGAGGGTTAGCGGGGTGGTGAGTGGTCGAGGTGGTACTTACGGTTAGCTTTGTCACAGGAGTACCAGATCCATTTCATGAACATCATTACGACCATCCACAAGAAGAGGAAACACAGCAAGAGGATTTGCGGGAGGAACTCCAGAATGATGGATGAGTATTTACGGAAGTGTCTGCGGTTATTATTAGGTGCTACTTTTGTTGCAAAAATAACCGTGTGTTTTGGGCAAGCAACGAATTCCCTTGGTCCCTAATTTTTAAAAATTTTCACTCATAACTTTTTTATTAATAATGTTACGCCCAAAAGTTCTTAATAAAAGTTACGGATAATTGTATTGTCTACAAAAATGTCCCTTACAAATTTTTTGTCAGACTCACGGTTACGGAGATAAGTACAAAAAATAATTGTGCCCGAGTATTCAGGAAAACCTAAAAATTGCTGCCTACCCAAAATGCAATATCGCGCGACTGTACTATTAAGAAAAAGTAGTTCTATTAGTAACTTACTGAATTTTGAGTTCCATCAAAAACACTTTCAGAAATTTTTGTTTGTACACTAAGAAAAATATTCTTCGTGTTGCGAAAATGTGCGCATCAAGTAAAAAATCTGCCAATTTCTCTAATAACCTTTACCACCTAAATACTTACACAAAGTTAACCACGCTGACGCAGACTCCGAATATCATGTGAATGACCCCAATAATAATCGACAGCTTCATTTTAAACGAATTGAGGAAAATGATCTTGTTCTTCGCCAGCTGCCACGCCGGATCCAACCCGATAAAGTACGGAGTCCCCTCGTAGTCGAACCGCGGGTCCAACGACAGCTCGTCCGTCTCCAACGCCTCCTCTTCATTGAGATTGACGAACCAACTACTCCCGAAGATATTCATGGACTTGGAGAAAATATCATTGTAGACAAAACCCGTGTACATCGAGAAGAACCCCATGAGAAGAATAATGTATCTCCCGGCGAAGAAAATGCTGAAGATTTCGCTGGTGATCTTCTTCCTTTGGATCTTCTTCTCGGCGAGTACCAAGTACCCTCCAAAGCACGCCATGATAATCGCGTGACCAAGATCTCCGAACATCACGGCAAACAGGAATGGGAAAGTGATAATGGTGTACAGAGCCGGGTTAGCTTCACGGTACGACGCCATACCGTAGGAATCGATCAAGTTCTGGAAACCCTTGGTGAACCTGTTGGTCCTGTTGAACGTTGGAGGCATCTCGTTGGTGTTGATGACGTTCAGGAACGACGGGATCGAGCTACCAGAAGCCGTCTAGACGCAACAAAGTTACAAGAGTTAAGACGGTGAAAATCGGACTTACTGAGCCATCAGAGAGGGCTTTTTGCACAATGGGAATGTCCTTATTGGAAACCCAGCACTCCCCAATGAGACACTTCTTGGTCACGTCCATATTGAAGAAGTTCAAAGTGTGGTAAATCGCCTTCATTTTACTAACCATGACGCTCCAGTTCTGGAGCTCTTTAGCCACACTGACCAACACCCGTTGACGATGGTCCTGGGTTTGGTTCAACACCAAGTTCAAGTCTTCCAGACGGGTACAAACCCCTTTTAACATCTCGCTACGTTCTTGGAAATTACTGGGACAAGTATAAAGCGACGCGTGGAACCCAGCGCAGACCTTCTTGATCCTGGTCTTCAGCTGCTCGCCTTGGAAAAACGCCACGAAGACGGTTTTGTGGATCTCGTTACCCTAAAACCACTACCTTAACCTCTTTCTTACCAATCCGGAGTTAAAAACAGGCACTGTGCATTTTAGATGAATACCTAGCCTCAAAGTATTGAGTCCCTAAATTTTTTATTTTTTCTTTCGTAACTTTATTATTGTTAATGTTACCCGGAAAAGTTGTGAATAAAAGTTGTAGATAACATCATTATCTACAAAAGTGGTCTGAATAAATTTTTTGTCAGGCTGACGGTTACAAAGATAAATCAAAAAACATAATTTCGCCCGACTACCCAAAATGCAGTTTCGTGCCGGATTAACTCTCCCATCCCCCAATTACCGTCGCCGGGTCTTCCAAAGGCTTCTCGATCTCCACCTGCCTCAAGAACACGTTCCCCCTGGAAATTCTCCACAGCATCCTCTCAAACCCGGGCACTCTCTCCCTGTTGATGACCCCGGCGACAAACCCCAGCCTCCCTCGGATGGAAATATTCTGCGTATCTTCTGTGATCAGCGCCTTGTGGGCCGAATCCATGCCATTAGCTTCGTCCTGCTCGTTAAAAAAAGGCTGCGTCTTCTCCAGAACGTGCTTCAGCTCCGTCAGCTCCAAATAATTGGACTTCAAATTAACCGCACTCTCTGTGAGTTCTTTAATATCGCCTTCGGTCTTCTCGAGATGCGCTTCCAGATCGATGATCTCTCTCGGGTTGGGAGCTTTCGGCAAGTCCTGTTGGTCCGGTATGGAGATGTTGTCCTTCTTCACTTCTGCTTCTATGTAGCGAAGCTTGCGTTCCATTTCGTCGCATCTTCGGACTTCGTTGACGAATTTTCGTTGGAAAACGTTGACGTTTTCGTTTAACTGGAAATGGGTTTGTGAGTGAGGGTGGTGGTGGGGTGGGGGTTCTTACGTCGCGGAACTGAACGATTCCCGATTCGCCGAGCTCGGAGATGGCGAAGTAAGCCGCTTCTGGTTGGATGAAGAGCTGGGCGAGGACCATCTGCTCACTACGGAACATGTCCCCCATCTTGTGGCCGTTTTAGTTTACGTCTGCGGGACCAAAAAGTCTGGGTTAATATTAACGTAGCGATAAGGTTCAATCTGATCTTTGTTTATCGGTACTAAAATTAAACCTGCGGTAATCTTATAAGTCGTATTTGACAAGGCGAGGTTTAAAATCGAAGTATTTTGTAGCTGCATTTGGATGTACTTATTAAATGACGTGTAATTGTGTCTCGACTTAATAGTCAAGGGTTAGTATTAACACCATATTGTTGGGTGTTTAAAAATATAATAAATGATAAGTTGATCACTAAATAATATGTATTAAATATAATACCTACGAGTATACCGAATGTGTAAATAAAAAAATATTTTTCACTTTATGGTGTTCCGTCGGTAAACTACACATTAATATTATATTTTTGTCATTTTTATCATCTACCCAGCGTAGCCCAACCGTCTAGTGGTCAAAGATTACACACAATAGTCACATTTTTTTTTTAAGGAAACATCCTATATATTTTTAAACATTTAAATATCTTAAAAAAAAATTGGTCTAGTTATTTAGACAGAACTTCCCTCTCCCTGAAGTATAATAAATCAAACAAATCCAATTTCTTAGATAAATCATACAATTTTATTTTTTATGATAACGCCTATAACTAAAATGGATGGATTGTTGTTTCAGATGAGTGTTTCATTATACAATTTTGCGATCATGTCATCAACAAGAACAAGAAAAACGATAAAAGAGCAAATAAAAGGAGGTCAAAAAAGCGAAAAAAAGGGGCGAGAACACAACCGAAAAAACGGCGCCAAAAAAAGGAGGTGAAAAGAATAGGGAAAAAAAATCGACCAAAAAAAAGGCAATAAAAAGGCGATTTTTTTGTTTCTACAAGTGAAAAAAGGCGGCAAAAAAGATTTTAAAAAAGAAACAAAAAAAGGCAACAAAAAATGACAAAAAAATGCAACAAAAAAACCTCCAGAAATATAAGAAGAAAATTATGACAAAAAGTCTTCAAGAGGTGAAAAAAGCGACAGAAAAACGACAAAAAAAAAGCAAAACGAAATCTACAAAGGGGCGACAAAAAAGAAAACAAAATCAGCAACAAGAAAACGGCTACAAAAAGGGACAAAAAGTGACAGAAAAAAAAAGAGAAAAAATCTCCATGGAAAAAGAACGACAAAAATTCCCCAAAAAAAGTTAAAAAAAGGTAGCTAAAAACAGACCAGAAAAAAAACGAGAAAAAAAAAGACGAAAAAAAAAAACAAAAAATCTGCACAAAAAATGCGACAAAAAGACGACAAAAAAGTAAAAGTAAAAGTTTCTATATGAAGCGAAAAAATGCGATAGAAAGAAACGCACATTTTTTGTTTCTATAATAAGAAGCGAAGAAAAAGCGAAAAAAAAACAAAAAAAACTAAAACAACTCAAAAAAAATGGTGACAAAAAGTTGATAAAAGATGGGGGGAAAAAAGCGGGAGAAAAAAAGACAAAAAGCAGCAAAAAAACGACGTCAAAAAAGTACAAATCAAAATGGGGAAAATACGACAAAAAATGCTATTTAAAAAGTATCAAAAAAGCGCAAAATTGAGTAAAAAATCTGCACCAAAAAATGCGACAAGATGATAAAAAAAGTAAAACAAAAGATAACAAAAAACCAAAAAAAAAAGAAAATGTTTTTGTTTCTATATGAAGCGAAAAAAATGCAAAAGAAAGAGAAAAAAAAAGACTAAAAAACTTCCACAAAAAAAAAACGGTGACAAAAAGTTTATAAAAGATGTGTAAAAAAGCGGGAGAAAACGACAAAAAAGCAACAAAAAAAAAACGAGGACAAAAACCCGGTTACAAAAGAGGCGAAAAAACAAAAAAAAAAAAGTAACAAGAAAACAACGAGGAAAAGGGCGAAAAAGCGACAAAAAATAATAGGCGAAAAAATTCAACAAAAAAAGAAATTAAAAAATGGGGGAAAATACGACAAAAATGCCATTACAAAAAAGTACAGAAAAAGCGACAAGAGTCAAAAGCAACAAAAAAAGCGCAAAATTCAGTAAAAACTCTGCACCTGAAAATGCGACCAAAGATGAGAAAAAAAGTAAAAAAAGAAGTGACAAAAAAAGTAAAAAAAGGTAACAAAAAAGGAAGATTTTTTTTCTATATTATTTTGTGTCTATAATAAGAAGCGAAAAAAAAGCGAAACAAAGAGAAAAAAAGAGAGGGTGGATGGGCGGGGCTAGTGTCTGCTATGATAAGACTGATTTTGGCAAATGAGATCCCTCTAAGAAAATAGTGATTGAGTGGGGCTAGTATCTGTTTAAATAAGTTTTATCTTACCAGCTACTATCCCCGCCCACCCACCCTGTCTTTCCTTAGAGGGTATGTCATTTGTCAGAATCGGCTTATTTTAGCTGGTACTAACCCCGCCCACGCGCCCTCTCTTTTCTTAGAGATCTCATTTGCCAAAATCAGTCTTACCTTGAGAGGAACTAGGCCCGCCCACCCACCCTCTCTTTTCTTCGAGGGTATTTCATTTGCCAAAATCAGTTTTATCTTAGGAACTACTAGCTAGGATAAAACTGATTTTGTCAAATGACATATCCTCTAAGAAAACAGAGGGTGGGTGGGCGGGGCTAGTACATGTTAGGATAAGACTGATTTGGCAAATGAGATCCTTTTAAGAAAATAGAGGGCGGGTGGGCGGGATTAGTACCTGCTAATCTAAGAACGATTTTGGCAAATGACAAACCCTCTAAGAAAAGAGAGGGTGGGCGGGCGGGCTTAGTACCTGCGAAGATTAGAGTGATTATAGCAAATGATGTAATTTAATTAAATTATTATAAGAAAAGACACAAGAGGCTCCAAAGCACTTTCAAATTTTTTCCAAGCTTAATTTTCTTATTTTTTCTTTTTCTTTACAAGAAATTCAAAACATGTTTTTGAGGATCGTGTTGTTCAAAAAATACCATGTATATTAAGAAAAAAATGCATGATTAAAAAAAACCCACAAAAAAAAACAGGTGACAAAAAGTTTATAAGAGAAAAAAGTAACAAAAAAACGACGTCAAACAAAAAGCGAGGAAAAGGGTAAAAGAACGACAAAAAAGGCGAAAAAAAGTCACAAGACAAATGCGAAAAAAAGGGCGAAATCAGTAAAAATATGCACCAAAAACTGACAAAAAAATTAAAAAAAGGGTAACAAAAAAAAACGACAAATAAGAGCGATATTTTTCGTTTCTATAAGAAGCGAAAAAAAAGAACAAAAAACCGAAACAAAAAACAAATAAAAAAGTGTTAAAAAAAATAGTGGAAAAATATCTATAAGAGGTGAAAATAAAAACAGTGACAAAAGGGCGACAAAAGAAGGTGACCACCGAAAAAAAAAACGTGGAAAAAAAAGGCAACAAAAAAAAAACAAACGAGGAAAAAGGCGAAAAATACCAAAAAAAATCTGCACCAGGAAAAACGCGAAAACAAAAAAAATCAAAAAAGATAGAAAAGAAAGCAAAACAAAGACAAAAAAGACGATAAAAAACAACAAAAAAAAACAAAAAAAAACGATTAAAAAATATATCAAAAAAAGGTAACAAAAACGACAAAAAAAAAATAAAAAAGCTGTTTAAAAAAAGATGATAAAAATAAAAAACGATCAAAAATTGTGGCAAAACAGTGTTTTATCATGTTTTATCATTTTATCAATTATCATCTTCACGACATTTCTGAAATAGACCAACAATCAACCCAGCAGTTTCGGATATTACCTGCCGAAAAAAATCGTGGCTGACGACAAATGAAAATGGAAGACCCACGTTTTCATACTTTAGTAGTTATCAAACGTCGACAAAAGCTGCATTCACCACACCTACCTTACGCTTGCAAAGTAAACTGAAAAATGATACCTGCCACACAAGTGTTTAACCAACAGTTTTGAACATTACACATTTTTAGAACTAGATCAATTCTGAGTAAATATTTTCTCAAAAATACCGTATCAATCTAAACAAATATTTATATGGAAACAGTAATACAATAATAATCCTCGCGTAACAATTTCAAATCAAACAACGCTTCAGCTTCGGCTCTTTGAATCTTCGTAGCGACTAAAGACCGGTTTAGACACCGAACGTAATTTGTAACTTAGCACGCGATTTTATTTATTCATATACTCGTAATAAATCAATAAACTGCAACTCACTTTGTTATTGATGGAGACGATTAATCGAAACTGTTTGTTTTCGAACGAAAAACGAAATTTTCTGAGAACGGGGATTATCGGAACGCTGTCACTTTCTGTGTTAGTATTATTATTACTATGACAGCGCTAATTATAGCGAGAGTGTATTAATTAATAAAAATTGTTTACTTCAAGTTCGATTTACGGTTTCGTTGAGATGTACTTGTACAGGCCTTGTAATTGGTCGCTGTAACGTGACGTGAAATTTAAGCGGCGTAAATCTGTCTTACGATTCAACGAAAAAATAAAAAATAGGACTATATCGTAGGAAATATTTACGTCGTCTGGGGCAATGTACCATTTACGTTTTATATTGGGCATTTAAGAGCATTACGATTATAACGGCGACTATATTTTACGACTTCGAATGAGCGCTATTTAGATTAAAATAATTTTATTACGATTCTTATAACAATTAACTAAACAACTAAAGTGTTTCGGGCGTTGTAAAGTAGGCTCCGCACACACCCCTCTTAACCTCATTCAATAACTCTTGCCCTCTGATGTCACCCCAGTGGTCACATGTTATCACCAACTTTCCCAACGCTCTTAATTAATAAATAACCGCAATACTTGAATTTATTCAGACGGAATTTAATAATCGCGATATTTCTCTTCTCCTCGGAACGCAGTCACGTGCTATCTCACTAATGGTCCCATGACTTCAGACTTCCGCACTTAAGCCGTATAAGTTTTTATTAACTAAGCGACCTTCCGATTTGACTACTGACAACTCGATGAATTAAATGGTCAATGGAAATGAAAAAATACTGACCTTAATCTAGATACAATTTTGCCGCCCGACTGTCAGCTACCTCACTTTGATACTAAGCAACTGAAACCTTACTCTACTCACATAAAATCGTCCGTCACATGATAATGTGCAAACAAACGTTGCTTGAGGTGCTCATTTTCAGAAAACAAAAGCGAGATAAAAAATGGGTTCAAAGAGGACGACACAAGTAGGACAAATCACAACGTATCGAACAATTGCGATGATTAGAGATTACTTATGTCGTAATAACGTTACGTTAAATTTATAGCTGGTGCATCAATGATAAATGGCCTGGATTTTGAAAGGCGAAAATTTTGATTTTAAAGTGTACTTTGCTGTTATGTAATAATTTATGGTGTTTACCCGTTCGACAAAAGAATTTCATCACGTTCAAGACAAATATGTATTTGGGAGACTGTATAAATAGAGCTGTTGTTTCCGTTGGTGTTGTAAATTGGGGAGCAGTTGGGCGAGATCTTTTCAAGCTATAGTTTAAGAAATCACTTTACGAAATTTGAAAGATTTGAAGCTAGGAAAAATCGGTCCTGGCATTTGCCGGAGTTAAACTACCACGTAAACATAGAAATGGGAAACTAATTTCGAACAATGTTCACATGATCATAACTAAGATGTTGGCGTTTTAAATTTTACTACTGGAAATGTTTTTGTTTTAAAATCATTTTAGTTGTTTTAAAAGAAAAGTTTGATGTTATTATATTATTACAATTGCCCGTTCACGTATATTTGTCAATTATCATATCAAACCCACATCCACTGCTTCAATTCGTTACAACCACGGTTGTTACAACTGACGCAGTTTTTTATCACTAACCGTTTTCAAAGGGTTATTATTTATTAAAATAGGTTTGACGAATCAAATATCCTTACTTTCTCTTTTTCTCTTACTTTGAGTCGATTATTTCGATTTCGTTACATGTTTTCCTCTAGCACAAACATCACAATAATTACTAACAAAAACATAAAAAGATTATTATTGACATACGGGTGTATGTTTAACAAAAAAGAGAATAACAAGCCATATCTGATTTTGAATTATGGATAGACTTAATTTTTTTTACGTAAACAAAAAAAAACAAAATTGGTGCCTGTATAAACATAAATTACACAAAAGTGTAGACCAATTTAGACACATCATAAAATTAATCGATTTCTGTGGGCAATTCTAAACTGCGCTGATGGTCTTATTTCAAGCTCACTGCGATAAATCTTATAGATATATATTCTTAAAAAAAAAAATACTTGGGGTCCCCGAGAAGGTTTCGCCTTCTTTAAAAAAGGACAGTTGGACCCAGAGGTTTCGCATTCTTAAAAAAAAACATTTGGGACCACCGAGAAGGTTTTACATTTTTAAATTTCACCTTTTCGAGATTTCATCAATAAAAAATCTGTTATGACGTCATAAACATTGATAATACACAATAGTAAACGCTGATGGTAAACTGTTATTATCCTGTGCACTGTTTTTGCAAAAATTTGAACGGTTAGGGAAAAATTCAAAGCGGATTTGTACACCAAACTTATAGGAGCCTTTTTTGTGTTTTGGATTTTTTCGAATTCATTCCATTTTTTCGATTGTTTGATGATTTTAATTTATTTTTGTTTTGTATGTTGTTTTACTTTTTTTGGATTTTTTTTTTGTACTTACATATACTTTTGTTTTTTTGATACTTTCGATTTTTTGGATTATTGAATTTCTTGAGTTTCTTGTTTTTTATAGAGCTTTTTGATTTTTTGGGTTACTAAATTTCTTGGGTTTTTATTTTTAATTTTTTTTGAGTTTTTGGATTTTTGTTTTTATTTGATTTTTGGGATATTTCCGATTTTTTTTTGGACTTCTGAAATTACTGAATTTCTTGAGTTTCTTGGGTTTTTGGATCTTTTTGATTTTTTATTTTTCGAAATTTTTGTATATTTTGGATTACTGAAATTACCGAATCTCTTAAGTTTTTTTGGATTTTTTAGATTTTTTTCTATATTTTATTTAAATTGCGATAATGTTTATTATTTTTTTGAAACTTTCGATGTTTTGGATTATTGAATTTCTTGAATCTTGGGTTTTTTGATCTTTTTGGTATTTTATTTTTCGAATTTTTTATATATTTTGGATTACTGAAATTACCGAATCTTTGAGAATTTTGGATCTTTTACATTTTTCTATATGTTATTTAAATTGCAATTTTTTTTATACTTTACATTTTTTTGGATTACTGAATTTCTTGACTTCCTTAGGTTTTTTGGATCTTTTTGATTTTTTGAATTTTTTGGATTAATGAATTTCTTAGGTTTTCTGATTTTTTGAATTTTTTTTTGTATTTTTGGGACATTTCCGATTTATTTTGAATTTCTGAAATTACTGGATTTGAGGTTTTTGATTTTTTAGATCTTTTGGATATTTTAAATTTTGTAATTTTTGTATACATCTTTTTGTTTTCTTTTTATACATTCGAGTTTTTGGATTATTGAATTTGAGTTTCATGGGTTTTTGGATATTTTTGATTTTTTATTTTTTATTTTTGATTTTTTGGATTACTGAATTTCTTGGGTTTTTAATTTTTTTGAGTTTTTGGATTTTTGTTTTTATTTGATTTTTGGGATATTTCCGATTTTTTTGGCTTTCTGAAATTACTGAATATCTGGAGTTTCTTGAGTTTTTTTGATCTTTTTGATTTTCTATTTTTGGCAATTTTTGTATATTTTGGATTAGTGAAATTACAGAATTTCTTGGGTTTTTTGGATTTTTTAGGTTTTTTGTATATTGTATTTAAATTGCAATTTTTTTGTATGTTTGTTTTTTTTTTTTTGATACTTTCGATGTTTTGGATTATTGAATTTCTTGAATTTCTTGGGTTTTTGGGGCTTTTGGATTTTTTATTTTTGGAATTTTTTGTATATTGTGGATTACTGAAATTACCGAATACGAATATCTTGAGAATTTTGAATTTTTTAGATTTTTTCTATGTTATTTAAATTGCGATTTTTTTTTTATACTTTACATTTTTGGGATTATTGAATTTCTTGACTTTCTTGGGTTTTTTGGATCTATTTGATTTTTTGAATTTTTTGGATTACTGAATTTCTTAGGTTTTCTGATTTTTTAAATTTTTGTTTTTATTTGATTTTTTTTTATTTTTAGGATATTTCCGATTTATTTTGGATTTGAAATTACTGGATTTGAGTTTTTTTGATTTTTTAGATTTTTTGGATACATATTTTAAATTCTGTAATTTTTGTATACATATTTTTGTTTTTTTTATACATTCGAGTTTTTGGATTATTGAATTTGAGTTTCATGGGTTTTTGGATCTTTTTGATTTTTTGGACTACTGAATTTCTTGGGTTTTAAATTTTTTTGAGTTTTTGGATTTTTTTTATTTGGTTTTTGGGATATTTCCGATTTTTTTGGATTTCTGAAATTACTGAATCTCTTGGGTTTTTTGGATTTTTTGTATATTTTATTTAAATTGCGAATTTTTTTTGTATGTTTGTTATTTTTTTTATACTTTCGATGTTTTTGATTATTGAATTTCTTGAATTTCTTGGGTTTTTGAAAATTTTTTATTTTTTGAATTTTTGTATATTTTGGATTACTGAAATTACCGAATCTCTTGAGTTTTTTTAGATTTTTTTATACGTCATTTAAATAGCGTTTTTTTTTTATACTTTACATTTTTTGGATTATTGAATTTCTTGACTTTCTTGGGTGTTCTGGATCTTTTTGATTTTTTTAATTTTTTGGATTACTGAATTTCTTGAGTTTTAGATTTTTTTGAGTTTTTAGATTTTTGTTTTTATTTGAATTTTGGGAGATTTCCGATTTTTTGGATTCCTGAAATTACTGGATCTCTTGAGTTTTTTAGATTTTTTGGATATTTTAAATTGCGATTTTTTTGATACTTTCGATTTTTTGGATTATTGAATATCTTGGGTTTATTGATTTTTTGAGTTTTTGGATTTTTGGGATATTTCCGATTTTTTTGGATTTCTGAAATTACCGGATTTGGGTTTTTTGATTTTTTGAATATTTTAAATTGTGTGATGTTTCATATATGTATTTTTGTTTTTTATGCATTCGATTTTTTGGATGATTGAATTTGAATTTCATGGGTTTTTAGATTTCTTTGAATTTTTATTTTTTATTGTTTCCATTTTTTGGATTACTGACTTTCTTGGGTGTTTGAATTTTCTGAGTTTTTGGATTTTTGTTTTTAATTTGTTTTTTGTATTTTTTGGATTTGTGGAATATTTCCGATTTTTTTGGATATCTAAAATTACTGAATTTCTTGAGTTTTTTGGATAATTTAAGTTGCGATTTTTTTGTTAATCAAATAAACACAGAATTCTTTGAAATGACGTCATCAAATTGTCGGTGGCAATGATTGACAAAATTTTGGTCATTTAACTTCTACACGATATTTCTAATATACAACAAAATTTGACAACAATCGGTCCAGCAGTTTCGGAGATTACGTGTCTAATAAAAATGGATAGCCACCAGATAGACAGACAGACATACAGACGGACGGAAACGGGAGACTACTTTTTTCGTACTCTTGGGGTCATGAAACGTCGAGAAAATATAAAAGTGGCCATTCATCCAAAACACAATTGGTCACAACATTTGTTTGATAAATTGCCTATTTTTTTTATATTTCTTAGGATTTTGTAACAAAAAAAATTAAATTTTCTTAATAAAAAAAAAAATTGCTCCAAAGGAAATGTGTATGGATTGCCAAGTACAAATAAACCAGTTACAGTGTAAGTAAATAAAAGTTAACGCGCTTGCCACTGAGCCGAGCCGTTGGCCCATATTTCTTATGGTCAGCATTATGTATTTACAGCCCGCTTTACGACGAGAAATATTATAATAACAAAATTTTAAAATCAAGGCAAAGTCATAAACCACAAGTACACAAGTATGTTATTTTGAAAAATTTATATACCATTCCTTAAGTAAAATTTTGAGATGACGTCATCAAATTGTTGGTGGGGATGATTAGACAAATTTTAGTTAGCGTTTTACCATTTGATGACGTCATCTCAAAATTTTACTTAAGGAATGGTATATAAATTTTTCAAAATAACATACTTGTGTACTTGTGGTTTATGACTTTGCCTTGATTTTAAAATTTTGTTATTATAATATTTCTCGTCGTAAAGCGGGCTGTAAATACATAATGCTGACCATAAGAAATATGGGCCAACGGCTCGGCTCAGTGGCAAGCGCGTTAACTTTTATTTACTTACATTACACGATATTCCGAACATACATATAAAATAATCGGTCCAGTAGTTTCGGAAATTATCTGTGTAACACAAATCAACAGACGAGAAACAAAAACGCGAGATCTACTTTTTCGTATTCCAGGAGATAAAACATGAAAGTAACCCTATTACAATACTTGCTTGGCTTACGTTTGGGAAGTAATAAAAAAATTGAACACAACTTAAAAAAAGCCCGGGTTCGAAGTCAATCTGCCAGCATTTAAAACTATTTTTTTATTGATGAAATAAAAAATGGTTCATACCATTTTCCCGAAAATGTAAGAATACAGTAATGTCGTTCCTACGTATATTTAATAATAATAAAAATTTTGACTTACTTAGAAATTTTGGCAATAGATCTATTTTTCAATGCAAAAATTACATTAACCGTAATAATTGGTTTAACAAAATTGTATCATCAGGAGTAATGTTTATCTTTAAGTTAAAGATAAATCATTAACAAAACTCAAAAATAATTAAAGCGCTAAACTTGACCCTTGTGGGACTCCTTTTGACACTATAGATGACCGATGATCATTCCATTATTGCTGCTGCGATTTCTCACACTTGCTGATTTTCAGGAATAACATGTATATAGTCCACACAAATTTAGAAATTACACATATTATTCAGAACTAACGATCTATCAGAAATACTCCCACTATTCAGATTATAAACATCACTGTTTACAGTGTAAAACAACATTCTTACAGCGAAACTATCGCGATTATAACGAGGTACATTGATTTACAGTTTTCAACCAAGCTTTTGTTTTCTTATTTGCTTATAGTGTTTTCAGTATTTCTATTTATTTATTTTTTTTGTATGTATTTTTAGCATTTCAGCAAGCTGTAAATATCCTATGCATTTGCATGAGTTCGTTATCAAACCACTTGACGTTGTTGCATGTTTCGACGTTATCGCCAAAACAAAACCTTTGAAAAAAATTGGTCGAAGGTTATTTACAGGGTTTTTTTTTTACTTTCACTTGAAATACGTTCCAACGAATGGCGCTTCTTCGAAAAATTATAAAATTTGATTTCAGGAAATTTTATTTTTTATGAGGGGGCGGATTCATAAACCACAAGTATAGGAGTGTGTTATTTTATGAAAGTGAAACGGTATTCGTTATGAAGAAGTTAACGAACGAGCTTGTTATAAAAAATTAGAAATAAAAACACTTCAATAAAAATCTTGAAGCGTATCCAGTCAGCTAGTTTCCAAAATTTCGCTACACCGATAGAGCTGAGAAGATGAATTTTCTCTAATAACCATAAAAATGTCTGTCAAGTTATTTATACTTCCCTCTTCTCTGACGCATAACAGACACCGCTGCACGCCAGGGCGTATTTTTTCATAAGAATTATTTGTTTAAGATTCTTTTATAACAACGTCATCAACTTTTTGGTACAGACGCATATGAGTACAATGTAACAATAATGATTTTGAAAAAATCTCACAGCAATATGGTGTATACTGAAATTCAAAAATTTGTTTTCTTCCATCTCGTAAATAAAAAGAAATAGAAATAGAACATTTACTTGTCCATATCGATTTACCATGCTTTTTAAACTGACATACATTTACAGACTAATGTAATCAATATATTTATTTAAAAGCTTGTCGGCGCAACTACAACATCGTTTAATTTATTACTACATTGTTGAGATAGTATCAATTTTTATTCACATCGTGTAAGTAAAATTATGTAGAAATTGAACAATGAACATTTTTTACAAAAAACTGGTATCGGTTGTGAAGCGAAAACTTGCGCTGTCTAAACATTTAGAGCTAATTTTACCCCACACAAAACATTATGAACTTGACTCACACTCATAAAGTAATGAAATATCTCTGACTCTAAAATCCCCAACATAACGAGCAAAGGAGCAAACCTCAGGTGTTTCTCATTTCCACGTCAATAAAATTCAACAAACAACCTCCTGACGGATTATAATTTAGATAAAACTGTGTTTTCTCCTTCGCAGCAGAATACCTTACACAAATAAACCGTCAATCGTTTCAAAAGCGCTCCTCTTTTTTCAACTTTTTGGAACGAAATCTCAAATTTTACTCACATTTCCAAAAATAAAAGCCCGCGACTCTTGTATTTATTTTCTGTACTTGCTAATGTCCCGTTTAAATATAACCGTGTGGACATACCTACTTGTTGAAAACATTATCACAATAAAAGTGATTTTCGTGTTGATTCTCGTCACATGTCAATAACGAACGTCCTTAGAAAACCATATAATGAAACAACAAACAGAACGAGATAGATGTGTTTAGCAAGGTGTTTATTTAGGTTGTCTAAAACGTAAACTAATGAAATTTTAGAAATGTTCTCTGAATGTACTGCAGTGGGTTCGGTGCGGTGTAGAACGGACTCGCGGGTTCTCACGGGGAAAACTATACATGTGATAAATGTCAACGGGGATCGAGTTCGGTGGTTCTGCAAAGTTGTAATAAAGGAGGTAATTTGTTTCGCTGATGATATGCGAAACTGGAGATTGGTAACACGATGCTTGCTGGGTTTTAACACAGTTGGAAAATAATCGTTGACCTTGATGGCTTTTGTGAAATATCTCAAAGTTCGGGGAAGAGTCATATGACTCCCGACAGTTTTGATAAGTTGATAGCGATTCCGCAGAACTAATCAAAAATCTGTGTACTTTTAAATTCCTGTACAATTTAATGATTAGATTGCACCGATTTCACGTTCACGGAAGTTACATGAGGTATTTCATTATTTATCAGAATATACAGTTTGTCCCAACTGCCATTATACATATTTAATACAGTATTTAAAATAAACCTCATTGAGAACTTCTTTGAAATAGGGTTTTTAAACCTACTTTCGTGTTTTTATACACAATGTAAATTTTGCCGGCACTAAATATAAAAAATCGATACACCATTAATAGGTACAATGTCCTGCGCGAGGCTGGACAGAGTTAGACTGTTTTTTCTTTAATGAAATTTTGAAGTGTTTAACAGTAATTCGTACATTCACACACGCACAACAACTTATTTCTGTAATTTTTGGCTAAAAATCTTTGTGAAAATATTCAAAATTTACAAAAGTACGATTTAGGCAACTTAATTTTTATTTTGTTTTTCATTAAATTTTTATATACAAAGCAGCAACAATTTACTTTTATTTATTTTAATCGAGGTTTTAAATTAGGATGTCTCCGAGAGATTTTTATTTATTTTTTACAATAACACAAGGAATAAAATTGAACTTTTCAAAAAATCTTGAAGGTAAAAAAATACCTGGTGTTCTAGTTTTAAAATAATTTGAGTCGTAGCACTCTTAAGTGTTTTTTTTTTTTTTGTTTAAGAATGTAAAAGAATCTTGCAATATCTTGTACCTTGTGGTTGAAACAATTTTAAAGGATCTTGAAGGCTTCTGATATTTTTCAAAGGGACCCCGAATACCTTTAATCTTGGAAGCTCCTTGTATTGGGTTTTTGAAACAATTTAAAAAGATTTTGGAAACTCCTAACGTTTTATTTTTGAAAGAACATTGGAGGTGACTTATGCTTTATTGTTAAACAATTCGAAAAGGTCTTGGAACCATTTAATATTTTGTTTTTAAAGAGTTCGGAGAATTCTCGGACCCCTAATGTTTTTATTTAAGAATGTGAAAGATCTTGAGGACCTTTCGTGTTTTATTTTTGAAGCAATTTAAAAAGATCTTGAAGGCCCTTAATGTTTTGTTATCGAAAGAGTCATAGAGACTCCAAGTATCTTTTCAATGTGAAAGAATCCTGAACGCTCTTATGTTTTATTGTTGAAACAATTTACAAAGATCTTTGAACCTTTTGAGTTTTTTTAAAGAGTTTGAAAGAACGCAAAGAGCCCCTATTGTTTTTTTTTCTTTAATATCAAAAGAACCTTTTGGGCCCATGCTGGTTTCCTTTACAAACGTTAAAGACCTTTGGGGTATCTCGTGTTTTATTTCTGAAATATTTAAAAATATCTTGAAGGCACTTGATGTTATTGAAAGAGTCACAGAGATCTCAAGTACCTTTTCAAAGAATGTGAGACAATCTTGGGAGCCTCGGTATTTTGTTTTTGAAACAATATAAAAACATTCTTAACATTTTATTTTTGAAAGAATCTTAGGGCTCCCTAATGTGTTTTTTCAGATCTTGAAGCCTTCTAATATTTTGTTTTTGAAAGAGTTTGAAAGAATATTGAGGACCCATGTTGTCTTTTTTTAAAGATGTGAAAGATCTTGAGGACCCTTGAAGTTTTTTTTATTGAAAGAGTCCTAGAGACCCTTAGTATTTTTTCAAAGAATGTGAAAAAATCTTCGAGATCCCTTGTACCTTGTTTTTGAAACAATTTAAAAGGATCTTGAAGGCACTTGAACTTTTGTTACGGAAAGAGTCATGAAAATCCCAAGTACCTTTTCAAAGAATGTGAAAGAAACTTCGGAACTCCTAACGTTTTATTTTTGAAAGAGTCTTAAGGCTCCCTAATGTCTTTTTTAAGATCTTGAAGCCTTTTAATATTTTGTTTTTGAAAGAGTTTGAAAGAATATTAGGGACCCATGTTGTCTTTTTTTAAAGATGTGAAAGAGCTTGAGGACCCTTGAAGTTTTGTTATTGAAAGAGTCCTAGAGACCCTTAGTATTTTTTCAAAGAATGTGAAAAAATCTTCGAGATTCCTTGTATCTTGTTTTTGAAACAATTTAAAAGGATCTTGAACGCACTTGAGCTTTTGTTACGGAAAGAGTAATTAAGATCCCAAGTACCTTTTCAAAGAATGTGAAAGAAACTTCGGAACTCCTAACGTTTTATTTTTGAAAGAGTCTTAGGGTTCGCTATGTCTTTTTTAAGATCTTGAAGCCTTTTAATATTTTGTTTTTGAAAGAGTTTGAAAGAATATTAGGGACCCATGTTGTCTTTTTTTAAAGATGTGAAAGATCTTGAGGACCCTTGAAGTTTTGTTATTGAAAGAGTTCTAGAGACCCTTAGTATTTTTTCAAAGAATGTGAAAAAATCTTCGAGATCCCTTGTACCATGTTTTTGAAACAATTTAAAAGGATCTTGAAGACACTTGATCTTTTGTTACGGAAAGAGTCATGAAGATCCCAAGTACCTTTTCAAAGAATATGAAAGAAACTTCGGAACTCCTAACGTTTTATTTTAGAAAGAGTTTTAGGGACCCCTAGTGTGTTTTTTTTTTTTTTAATAATATTAAAGAATTTTGGGAATCTTTAATGTCTTGTTGTTGACACAATTTGAAAAGATCTTGGAGCCTCCTGATATTTTGGTTTCGAAAAAGTTCAAAAGAATCCTAGAGGACTGTAGTGTATTTTTTTAATTGTGGAGTCCCTGGTGTTTCTTTTCACTTCCTGAGCGTAAGCTAAGGAAGTATTGTAATCGAGTCCATCGGACGAATTGCCACTTTTATGTTCTCTCGACGTTTCATGTTGGCAAATTTTGCATCTATGTTAGAAATATCATGTAGATGGTTAAAAGCTAGCCACAATTTGGCTAATCATCCCCACCAACAATTTGATGACGTCATCTCAAGGAACCGTATTTTAACATAATGTAAATTAATTTTAAAATGAGTTGAATGTTATACAATGAAATATGTTTTAAAAGGGTGGAATTCTTTAGAGAAATATGTATTGATGTTACAATTAAACTTCGTCCTTCGGTCTGATTAGGAATGAAAAACTCATCACAATTGAGACCGGGGCGGGTGGGGCTTAATCTTTTTTTTTAATATACAGAGTTTTTTTTTTCAACAACAGGACAGTTAAATATATTTTCAGTTTCTTGTTGGGAAAAGAAGACTTCGTATATCAAGAAAAATTGGACAAAATATAAGCCCGCCCACCCACCCCTTCTCAATTGTGATGGATGGTTTACTGGTCGTAAGCTGAAGGTCGGAGTTTAATTGCAAAATCCTCATTTCTCAACAAGAAATTACCATATGAAATATGTTTTTTGAAGGGTAGAATTTTCTAGAGAAATATTGATGTCACAATTAAACTCCACCCTTCGGTGAAATGAAAAACTCATCGCAATTGATATCGGGGCGGGTGGGTGGGGCTTAGTCTTTGTTATTTTTTCTTTATATACGTAATTTTCGTTCAACAAAGAACAAGAGATATAATAAAAAACATAAAGTCAATCTATTATTCAATAATTTTGGACAGTACCCCTGACAAGCGGTGGAATCGTAAGATTTAACATAATGTCAAAACCACCCACCCACCCCTACTCCGTTCTGAAGATTCATTTTATTGGCTCTTGAGACGGAAGTTGGATTTTATATTGACGAATGATAGATTCTCGGACTACTTTTTTTTATAAAATTTTGATTTCATTCGAAAAACGACTCTGCTGTCAGCGTTTAAATAATTAACAATTTTGTGAAATAGACAAAATGAGGTATAATCGGAAACCCCTCTTCTACGGGCCAATGAAATGATTTAATGAGGTGGAGCTTGTCCGAGTGGGATGAACTTCAATAGAATTGCTTTTTAAATATAATTGTTACGTCTGGTACGTTTATTTAACACCAGTTTAATACTTTCCAAGTATTTTGTTTACAATTTAATTATCTTCTCCCCAATGGCTTAACAAATTTGCTTGAGATTCTAATAAGATTTGAATGAACAATATTGAAAATAGTCATTAGAATCTAGAGGGGGCGGGTGGGCGGGGCTATTTCTTGCTTATAAGACGACTCTAGAAAAAAGCAAAACTTGGCTCCGCCCACCTCCTGTGTACATTTCTCTGACTTATTTTATTTACTGTAAAATAGGAATTGATTTCTAATTTGACAAACGATAGAATCGTAAAATTTAAAACAAAATCAAAAGTGGTACCACCCACCCACCCCTTCGCCGTTTTGAAAACTCAATTTGTTGGCTCTTGAGACGGAAGTTAGATTTTATATTGACAAATAATAGACTCTGAGACTAGTTTTTTTAAATAAAATTTTTACTTTTATTCGAAAAACGACTTTTGCGTCAGCGTTTACGCAGAAGTAATAAAAAATTATGTGTAATAGACAACACGAAGTACAATCGGAAACGCCTTCCCTCTTCCATGGGCCAATGAAATGTTTTATTGAGCTGGAGCTTGTGCGGGTGGGAGGAGCGTCAATAGTATTGCTTTTTAAACATCGTTCTTACGTCTAGTACGTTTATTTATCACCAGCTTAATACTTTTTAGATATTTTGTTTACGATTTAACTATTTTCTCCCCAACAATTTAACAGAGTTGTCCAAGATTTTAATAAGATAATATAGTTCTCATGAATTAACAATATTAAGAACAGTCATTAGAATCAAGAACGGGCGGGTGGGCGGGGCTATTTCTTGCTTATAAGATTCTGTAGAAAAAAGCTAAACTTAGCTCCGACCACTCCCTGTGTCCATTTTTATCACTTATTTTATTTACTGTTAAATAAGAATGGAGTTCTGATTTGACAAGCAGCA